CCACTCTCTGTCGATCCTGAATGGCTAGTTCATCTTTAGCTAGTTCCCCACCTTAACCAATCCTCTTTCAAACCACATGCACTCTTCTTTTCTATTGTCTTATATGCAGATAAGTGCAAAAACGTTGGAGAGAAAGAGGAACGACGCAGTTTTCAGTCACCAAGGACAGAGACCTGCGATTTGCCGGAAAAGTTACCCGAAGGATTCAACACAAGAGGAAGCTCAGTTTGCCTTAGAAAAATCTCAAATTTTGGTACCATCTCGTCCTCTAGTCTCTCTTTCTTTAAAAGGCATTTCCTTTTTTTTAAAAAAAAAAAAAAAAGAAAGGAAATGAAAGCCTTAGAGAGTCTAGAGAGGTCGAATTTTAAGTCCCAAGGCAACTGGAGTTCGATTTTATGGAGTTTTGGAGATTGTTTTCTGATTCCCGGAAAGAATCTAAGTCTGGGGGAACAGCTGTTTACAACAAAGGAGGAAGGATTATGCAACAACATTTGGCAAGAAGAAGTGACTGAAAACTGTGGTCATCAACAGGTCCTTATCTCTCTTACGGTTTTGCATATTATCTTGCATCCCCCAGATCTTCAGGTAACCCGAAACACTTTAACTCCACCACTTAAATAGCACTTTAATGCCAAACGCCGTCTACCCTGGATGATGTCTTTATTGAGAACTCACTATTGAACTTAATGAATGTACAGAGCTAGTTGACTGGAATCAAGATTTAAATTGTTTAAGTTTTGCATGACGGAAAAAGTGGACTAGTATCTCTTGTGCATTGGTGAGAATTTTCTAGACTAAGTTGTGGATTGATGCACTATCTTTGGTCCTAGTTTAGGAGTTCATGTCTATGAGATTTGTGCATTCCCTATTTTTGTTTTCACCTAACCAGTTTAGGCTTTTGCTTTGTTTGAGGACAAACAAAGGTTTAAGTCTGGGGGAGTTGATAACACCGTATTTTGACCACTTTTATGGATCGTTTTGAAACACTTTTTCTATGTTTTTAATTGCTTTTAAGTAATTTTATCACGTTTTTCTAGTATTTGTAGTTCCAAGACTCTTTTCAGGTAACTTATGGAAAAGCTTAACAAAATGGATAGAAAACCAGATTTCAGCTCAGAGTCAAACCGTCAGAAGTTCACCCCTGATTGAAGGCCTTCTCACCGTCTGATCCAGCTCAAATTTGGAGACCTTAAAGATGGAAGTATCAGCTTTCCATAACACTTTACAGCTTTGCAATCCAACGGTTCAATCAAAAGATACGCGAAGAGCAAGATGTCCCGTAAACCAGCCGGCAAGCAACTCCACCCGCGGCAAACCATCCATTCCCCGCGGTCACAGCACTCCCGACCGCGGCCAGCCAACTCCGAGCCCAAAAGCTTATTTCTGAAGCCCACAATGATTCCCTCATTTGGAGAAACCCTAAGTGACGTCCAGAGAGGTCTTGAGCACTATAAATACATGTTTTAGGAACCCTAATCGATCATCAGATCATCTATCATTACTTCATATTTTTCTTATTGTTTTTGCTTTAGCTTTTAGGGAGAGAGAGATTTGTTCTCTTGAACCCTTGTTCTTTCTTTTTTAATTTCGGTTTCTATTCTACTTATTAATACTATGTTTATAATTTCGTTCATTATGTCTGAGTAGTTCTATTGTTGGGATTAACGGATTTTCGATGGGGATTTATATGTTCGATAAGGATTCCATGAGCTTTTGAGCCGAATCTTAGAACTTTTTCTTCTGAATTCGTTTTTACTGCATGAGAGTAGCGTCATGAACTACAATCTGATAAAGATGCTTGGTGACACGAAAGTGTTCATCAGGTATCAGATCTAGTTTGGGAGAGCAAAACAAACATAGGAGTGGAAACCTACCTATGGGCGATTTGTGAATGCTGACGAGTCTTAAACATAATGCATCTCTTCTCTTCCAGGGCCAGAGTGGAAACCTACTGGTCAGGGTTGAGAGAGATAGTTGTCTATGATCACGACAGTGGCGTATTCATACGTCCGTGACTCCAGTTCGAAAAGTTTAAGCTAAGATCTTATCAAATTTACTCTCTAGCAATGTTTTGAATCGTTCGTACCCCTGAGAAAACTTCCCTGAACCCCAACGCCTTCTTTCCTATAGATTCACACCGTTTTTATTTCAAGCTTTAGTTCAATATTGTCTTTCCTTTTTAGTAGATTTTCATTTAAGCAATTAGAATATCCGTTTTTCTCATTTTTGTTCATTTTCGTTAAGTTTAGTTATTAGGTCATTTAATTCCCTTATTTTCTTTTAAGATTTCGTTTTTACATTTTAAACACACTACCAAACCCCCACAAAACCGTTTTGGTTCTAGACTTCCTTACCTTATACTTATTTCAAAGGCTTTTTGCAGGAAAAGATCCTCCTTCCCTGTGGATTTGATCCCTAAGTACTACAATCGATCAGTTGTGCACTTGCAGCTATTGATTTCATTTAGGGTAAAACTTGACAACCCTCGACACTCACGATACCCACAATCAACACTTAAGTGTCTTACGCTTCTATAGTCACATTGTCAAGCTTAGGCCATCAATGATGGAAAGCATACGTATCCTCGAATTTTGTTTGATGAACACATTGATAAATTGGTTTTATAACCAATAATGAATCGTATAACCGGAATATATTATTTCAAAATTCAGTATTACTATGAATATGATATATCCACCAACGGTACAACTATGTCGACGATGAATATAACTAGAAAACAAGGCACAACTACGTTTTGAATTCTTAGTCACAATAAACGACATATGTCCATAATAAAATAAATTATGTCGGCCACACGTTAGTTACGACAGGTGTTCTTTACATGAACACATGTGCATGTGTCAGGTAGAATATTATTATAATAATAGGAAATAAGATTAAAGGAGATCCGTTTCCATGTGACGTCGTGTTACAAGAGGTTAACTAACCCTTAACCACTAATAAATCAATTTAAACCGATTTCATAATTTGAAGATGGCAAAATACGACCATGATAATAATCAGTATTTTAAAATATAGTTGTTTTCAAGCTAACACTTATCAGGAATTACGAACCAGGGTTTTAAAATACTAAAAATAATGAAGAAATAATATGAATCTCACCACACTCGATACTTAAGTGTTTTATGCTTCTATAGTCACCTTGTCAAGCTTAGGCCATCAATGATGGAAAGAATATGTATCATACTTTTCCTCGAATTTTGTTTGATGAACACGTTGATAAATTGATTTATAACCAATAATGAATCGTATAACCAGAATATATTATTTAAAATTCAGTATTACTGCAAATATTGTATATCTACCAAAAGTACAACTATGTGGACGATAAGTATAACTGGAAAACAAAGCACAATTACGTTTTAAATTATCAGTTACAATAAACGACATGTGTTTTCACTTGAACACGTGTCTTATTGGTTGGAACAAATAGACCCCACTACCATTATTTATTATTTCCCGGGTTTATCTACGAAACTCAAATTTGTTTTTCTCTCCCCCCCTAAAACAGACATTTCTAATTTTGAGTTCCTCCCCCCCCCCCAAACAGACATTTCCAATTTTTAGTTCTCCCCCCCCCCCAACATCAAAATTCAATAAACTATCCGGGTTTAAGCACAAAATAACCAAAACACTCAGTTTTTGGAGGAATAACAATTTCTTGCAAGAATACCAACTTGGAGCTTTCAAGCGGGAGCCCTCCATCCGAATTGTACGAAAATTCTCGAATCCCGTAATTCTGTTATTGTCATCGTCAACCAATCATCAAAACTTTCTACACCATTTTGGATCCGGGAAGAAGATTCTTCGCTTGCAGTAAGGAATACGTAAGCAAAGTTCAGCTGTTGATTGCTTTTGATTTCGTACCAAAAATATTTATACGGTTTGTGTCCTGTAGAATCCCGAATGTCATATCTTCAAGTGGTGTGATGAGGGGATGCTAGAAGAGATTCAAGATATTCAGCATGATTTGACCAAGATGCAAATCCGGAGTGGTTGGACTAGAACCATGAACCGGATTCACTCGACGGAGATTTCCCAGCTACAGGAATTGGTAATCAAGCTGAAGGAGGAAATGGTTGAGGGAAGGAGGTCTCATGCTCTCCTTTATGAGGTGGTTTGGGACTGGGTTTTGAAGGAAATGGATAGGGAACTGGAACAGACGGGACGGGATGGGATAATATTTAAGGAAGTTAAGGACATGGTTGTTCTATCTGTTCTTGCTGTGGCTTCGGTTTCTTTAACTATCTACTTGTTCAAGTAGTTACGATTCATGGTTCTACTCAAGACTTACCTAAGGTTGCCAGTATACCAATATTCAATTATCCGAATAACATTTGGCTACACCAAATGATACCGAGTTATACCAATTTTCAATTAGCCGAATAACATTTGGTTACACCAAATGATACCGAGTTATACCAGTATTCAATTATTCGAATAACATTTGGTTACACCAAATAATACTGAGTTATACGAGTATTCAATTATCCGAATAACATTTGGTTACACCAAATAATACTGAGTATTACAACTTTTCAATTTTCCGAATAACACTGATTACACAAAATGATACCGAGTTATACCAGTATTCAATTATCCGAATAACATTTAGTTACACCAAATAATACTGAGTATTACAACTTTTCAATTTTCTGAATAACATTGATTACACCAAATGATACTGAGTATTGCAACTTTTAAAATTTCCAAAAAACATGTGGTTACACCAAATGATACTGAGTTATCCCGATATATTAGGTTTCCTTATTTATCGGCTAAGATAATATAGTGGATAGAATAACATAGGTAGATTTAATAATAATTTTTTATAATTAAATATTTTACGATAATTATTTTTTAATAATAAAATATTTTACAATAGAAGCAAAAATTAAAAACACACTTCAACCTTAGATGTTAGATAACTAAAACAGTAAAACATAAAATTCATTATTTTAGGGTGAAAACGACATGAATTAATTCATGGCGTGTGCCTCAGTTATCAAGCGGGCCTTCTTCTCAAACCTCTCCAGCTCCAAGAGGCACATGCGGGCGACGTCTTCGAGGAAGTGGTCGTCTTCCTCCATCATAGGGTGAACCAGCATGTCATGGAGCGCTTGGAGGAAATCTTTCACTGTCTTTCCAAACCTCCAGGTAGCGGTGACGAGTAGCGGATGGAAGACGCAGAGTTTGTCGATGTTGGGGTGCGAAATCGGCATCTTCCACGACACCCTTGGTGGCCTGAAGGGATACTCCGGTGGGAAATGAATGGAGATGAAGAAGAGGCCCCCTTCGTATGGACTCTTAGGGGGGTTCAACACCATTGCTTGCCATTCGTAAATGTCTTCCCCCACTGGCCTCACACTGAACCCACTTGCTGGGAACCTCAGCAACTCCCTCAGATGAATCATGATCCACGACATAGGGGCCATTTTGAAGTGATAAAGAGAACAAAGATAGCACTAAATAGAGAGAAGATGATTTAGAAGATAGATATGGGCCATTTTGAAGTGATAAAGTGCGACTCATATAATAAATACCCTTTAACCGTTCAGCCTTAGGACAGTCGTGCGGAGAAGTTAAAAGTCACGTCTCTCTCTCCCCTAATACAGTGTTGGTAGTTATAAAAAAAAAATTTTGGTCAAAAGTAGTTATAAAAATATTTATTTAATTAATATAGTGGTAAAAATGAAATACAGTGTTGGTAGTTGTACCAGTTTTACGGCAGTTAATGAAAACATTAACTGCCGTAAGACTGGTATAACTACCAACACTAATTTGACCTTTTTTCGTTCATCCATGCAACTATGAAACACGGCGTGATTATCTTTTAGATAGCTAAATTTAGTTATTATTATATATTTATTTATTTTTACAGAGATAAATAATTGCGTCGTTCCCTCTTTCCTCATCTTTCGTCTATGTAATGCGTCTATACAATAAATAATTCCTCTCACGTGAGTAAATGTTGACTAGACAAATATCAGAATACCTCAGTAATTCAGACAAATATCTGAATATCTCAGAATATTATGAATAAAAATCATATATTTTCAATAACGTATTAATGAGAGTAGCAGTTATTTCTCTCTCTCATATGGGCGCATTTACTCGACGAGACTACTCACTTCCTCCATTTTCTATTATTTAAGTTCGCAAATCAAATCTATACGGAAAGAATTTCCAACCCTCCAGGTAGCGGTGACGAGTAGCGGACGGAAGACGCGGGGTTTGTCGATGTTGGGGTGCAGAATCGGCGTCTTCCACGACACTCTTTGTGGCCTGAAGGGTTACTCCGGTGGGAAATGGATGGAGATGAAGAAGAGGCCCCCTTCGTATGGACTCCTAGGGGGCCATCAGCGTTGCTTGCCATTCGTAAATGTCTTCCGCCACCGGCCCCACACTGAACCCACTCGCCGAAAACCTCAGCAATTCCCTCAGATGAATCATGATCCATGATATAGGGGCCATTTTGAAGTGATAAAGAGAGCAAAGATAGCAGGAAGAGAAAGGAAAATTCTAGGGTGCAACTCATATAATAAATACCCTTCAACCGTTCAGCCTTAAGGGAATCGTGCGGAGAGGTTAAAAGTCACGCCTCTCTCTCCCCTAATAAACCCGAAAATATATATTTAATTAATATACTGGTAAAAATGAAATACAGTATTGGTAACCAGTCTTACGGCAGTTAATGCTTTCTTTAACTGCCGTAAGACTGGTACAACTACCAATACTAATTTGATTGTTCTCTCTTTCATCCATGCAACGATGAAACGCGGCGTGATTATCTTTTAGACAGCTAAATTTAGTTATTATTATATATTTCATTTACTTTTACAGAGACAAATAAATGCGTCGTTCCCTCTTTCCTCATCTTTTGTCCATGCAACGCGTCTATACAATAAATAATTTATCTCACGTGAGTAAATGCTGTGTAGACAAATGTCCGAATATCTCAGTAATCCAGACAAATATCCAAATATCTTTGTATATGAGTAAAAATCATATATTTTCAATAACGTATTAATGAGAGTAGCAGTTATTTCTCTCTCTCATACGGTCGCGTTTACTCGACGAGACTACTCACTTCCTTCATTTTCTATTATTTATGTTCGCAAATCAAATCCATACGGAGAGAAGTTCCAAAATCCATTCTACTTCTTCATTAATTTCCCAAATCCATCACTTTTTCCTTCCTCCTCTCTCTTAGGGTTCAGATTTTCTTTTTATATTACAAAATCCATCATTTTCTTTTAGGGTTTCAGATCTTTTCCTCAAAATCCCTTTCACAAAACTCGGCCTAGACCACATTCATATATAAATCCATGGCAGAGTACTCCTACCTACTAGCTCTACCAGTTGAACTACTGGAAAAGGTTCTGGCAACGTCGGTTAACACAATTGGTGACCTAATACGGATTCGCTCAATTTTTTCATAAGTTCAACGCCTGCACCAGAGGCCCTGGTTTCTACGCTGAAGTAGATCCCTTTAATATGTGCATTCAGTGGATCAAGATGTCCATCTCATCATTAATATCTTCAGAGAGTTTTATGATGCACGAAATCCAGGAATGCTTTTCATGCGAGGTATGCAACTTTATTTTAATCGACACGATTTTGGAGGGATTCAACTGATAAAGGATGTGGCGGATAGAGGGTACACAAGTGCAGTATATGTCTACAGGATGTTCATGAAACTTGTAATGGAACATCCCGAGGGTGATGAGTACCTCATCAAACTAAGCCGGGAAACAATAAAGAAGTGCAGCCGCGAGTTCGTTGAAGAACTATATCATGGTTGGCCAATGGCGTTGCCAGAGATGTTTGATGAAAGCCACTGTCCCTTTTTACCGCGCCTCAATACTCTTATCCACTGTCCATGCAGTACCGTTAACCTTTGGGAGTGTTGGTGGAATGATGAGTATAAACCTGGGAACATCTGCTACTACTGCTTCTTAACTCGCGAATGCGGAGGGTTCTTCCTATATGTGTACCGGGTAGTCAAGGTTTTCCTGAAATGGTCAACTGCTGAATGTGTATGATGTTTTGTGTCTTATGTTTTTTGTCTTTTGTACTTCCTTATTTTCTGGATTCCTTAAGTTAACAATTCGTAATGTTTTGTACTCCCTTATATTGTGTATAAACATTATTCTGATGATTTTAACTCGAACTGTTTAGGCCTGGTATTCCTCATATATAAGTGGTTACACCAAATAATAATAGGTTATACAATTTACATGTGGCTTCACCAATAATACCAAGTTTTCCCAATTTTTGGTTTTCAATAATCCAAATAATACTTAGTAATCCAAAATCAATAATAAAAATAGAAATACACACCCTAATAGAGTTAATCCAAATACAAATACATATACCAAATGTCAAAGGGAGACTTAACTTCTCTGCCTTGTGTTTGGCCCTAGCTTCGATTGCTCTTGTTTCCGTTTACCTGCACTCACTTCTGCATTTACAGCGTCAGCACCGTTTGGTTCTACCTACACATACCAAGTAATACAACATAGTGTTATCACGAAATATTAAGTATTACAAAAACAATGGATATTACTCTTCAAACTTCAATACCTCTTTACTTCTAAGCAGGTACGGAGATCGTGCTACAAGCTGCTCCGCCTTCTTCTGCTCTGCCTCTTTCAGCTCCTCCTCTTTCAGCTCCGCCCCGCTCAGCTCCGCCTCATTCATCTCTGGCTCTTTCTGCTCCGTCTCCTTCTGATCTGCCTCCTTCGTCTCTGCCTCCTTCTGATCCGGTGCCTTCTGCTCTAGCTCCTTCTGCTCCGGCTCAACAAATTACACTTAAGTTCATAATATTACATACTTACAAATTCTTTATAATGTGACATACCTCCAAAGGAGTAACAAAGCTTGGAAATGTCTAGGCATCTGTTTCGACGACCCCTTTGAAATGCCTCATTGTGTGCTCAATCTCCTGGACTTTTTTGTTTTCAACTATTTACATCGAATGAATACCTACCTCAAGGATACCTTTTACAAGCCTCAAGATCATCCACAATCCTCAAGAATAAGGGGTCAACAGATGGTGCTCCCTTACGAGTTTTTGTTTTGCCACTAATTGTAGAGGATAAGAAGTAGGTGACACACATCTTCAACCGATCGGGATGAGCTAGTCCTCGCATCGACTATAGCTTTTTCTCAACAGCAGCAAGGGAGGGAACGGTTTCCTGGAAATATTTATTCTTAAACAAAGAATTTTTATGCTCTCATAGTCCTCTGGGTACGGTAGACAGTTTAATCCACACAAAAGGGCATGCTCTCTAATGGAATAGCGAATTGGTACGCTATTCACTACAAACCAAGCTTCTCTCTTCTTATTTCTGTTTGTTGTCCGAAGAAGAAGCAACGACATTCCCATCATCTTGTGTGTCGTGTCCTCATGCATGGCTCTATGCATGTGTCAAAAGTGCTTGAACTGTGGGTGTTCTGTAAACCATATCAGCTCATGGGGTTCAAGGTCTAGGGACTCCAATTTCACAACAGCTTTGTGGATATAACATCTTGTTCCCAGCTTTACTGCACTAAGATACTGACTGGGCTTGAAGAATATTTTAACGGGTGGCAATGGCTGGTTTTCCTCCTCGTTAGCCTCAGTTTCCGTATTTTCAGTAGTGTTCTGCCACAACACTATCTGATAATTACCCGTCTCTGAATTGGCAACTCCTTCTACCATTTTCTCCTGTGACGATTCGGAAGCTGAGTACAGTTCTTGTCTAGCATATCTAAACACTCTTTCGATACCATCCATGACTCCTATTTTGTAATTACCAACCAAATAGAGAACATATAAATCGAATTTTGGATTCTACACAAAACTGAGTCAAATCTACAAAGTAATCTAAATAGATATTAGAAATCAAAGGACAAATCATAGGACGAAGACGAACAAACCTGATTTAGCGTTGATTCAAGACAGGCAGCAGCAAATCACTCGTAGTTGTCCCATAAAATACTAGACAAAGACGACGATGAGAGGACGATTTCGAAATTTGAAATTTTTTTTAAAAATTTTACAAGTATAATTTCTATTTAGGGTTTGACTTACCACAATTTTGATCGAAGACCTGATTTCTTCGGATTCAACCCGATATGACAGACTGGGTGTGGATCTTCGTGGTTGGGTTCGTAAATATGAAACATTACTAAGGACCCTCAAGTATTTGACCGCTTTTCTTCCTATTATGAGGAGGAGATATGAGAATTTCTTTAATGCGGAAGAAGTACGCGAGATTATTCCTCCCATCAATACTAACTTAATAGACGACTCTAGTACACTATCCCTCGTATGCTGCTAGGGTTGATATCACAGGAGAAGTTTTAAATTTGTAAATCCTAGTAACTGCAAGTGTACAGCAGTGCGATGTAGTACTTGTGGTGTCGATCCATAAGAAGAATTGTCTTT